AGCCGGTGAAAGACAAATACCATATGATCTCACCTCTAAGTGGAATCTATTCAACAAAATAAACTAATGAACAAAATAAACCACAGGCAAGGAAACATGGAGCAGACCGAAAGTGACCAGAAGGGATGGGGAAGGAGGACAATGGTGTAAAGAAGGAGAAGGGAGTAGACAAAGACCACGTATGAACGACCCATGACATGGACAACAGAGTGGGAACTGACTATGGGAGCGGGGGTGGGGGGGTGGGGCAGGGTGGGATTGATGAAGGAAGGCAAAGGGGGAAAATTGAGACGAGTGTAATAGAATAAACATGATTTAAAACAATTAATTAATTTAAAAAAATGTTTAATATGGTATTCTTCAAGTTTTTTTCTCTAGTGTAATTATAAATGCTATTGAAATAGCATTTCAATTGCAAGGCCTAAATCTCTTATAGGAATGTATTTATACATATTGCAATTACTACTTCCCATAATACGTATAAAATGTAGTTTCATCTTAAGTCCTTGGATTAAAATGGACCACACTTTCATTGTAATAGTCCACTGAGTTCCCTGGCTATTGAATGCTGTGTTAATTTCAGCAATTATTTTGGTTAGTAACACTTTTGTTGTTGTTTTTAATATTAGAACTTCCCCTGTGAGAGCTCCACGTGTGCTTGTGTGCTGTGTGTGGTCCAAAGCAAACAAGAGCCATGATTATTTAAAGAAGCTACTTTGACTCCACAGTCCACTCATCCTTTTCAGATACAAAAATAACACATTGTTTTATCTATGAGTATAAGAATCGTGTTTCAAAGGAAATAAAAAGAGCAGACAGTTTCCTTCCTGGCTAATTCATGAACCTCTTTAAATCTGTTAAACATAGCCACAGACACAACTTATTCGCCTGGTTTCATTTCCTAAACTCAACCTGACAAGATAGGTCAGTGGGAAGGGTCAATTTGCATATATTAGGAAATCAGTCTAAAGCCAGGGAATGTTTCGCAGCCACCGGAGTGAGGAGAATAGTGCTTTAGACTCTAGGGCAAGAATCTAATTTCAGCGATAAAATTAGTAAGCAGGTATTGCATTCTACTGTTCTGAACAGCATCCAAGGATCAAATTTTTATTCTGTGAACCCAAAGTATTTTTATTCAAGATTGCATCTAACTCATAAGATTCACATAATATCAACTTTCAAAAAGTTTTCTTACTGAAAATGATAGATATCCTTAAATGGAGCCAAAACATGCCTCCTTGAAACTTCACCACCGTCTCCCTCCTTGGTTCTCTCCTTGTCCATGTTGAAGAATGAGTTAAATGTCTCCTTAGTCTGAAAGTTCCTTAAATATTTGAAGAAAACAATCATGTCATCCCAAGTTGCCTCTTTTTTAGTGAAAACATCCTCACTTCTTTGTACTGCTTTATCATTACCCTGTTAGGACTATGGTGCCACTTATTTATGCTTCTCTTATCAATGGGTGTAATGTTTCAGGTGTGGTTTGATGATTGCAGGTCAGGTCATCTGTTTTCTCAGCTACTCAGAATGGCTGAACACAGAGTTTGGATGCAGCCATTATTCTCAAAGCAGAAAAATAAACTACAAAACAGAGCAAGAGAGAAGGCAGAAACACTGTGAAAAGCAGACACAAGAAAAGGTATGGCAGCTGGGGCAGTAACCAGTAGAAAGAAGGGTACATTTAGCATCTGTGGCTGTACTGCAAACTACCATTTCTCTAAGTGATAGTAAAAATTAATGCCACATAAGGGAAAAGGGGTCATGAGTCAAAAATACAGATTCCTCATAAAATTCAATGGACTAGATAATAGGAAATATTTAGAATTATTTAGACTCTGTTATTACCAAAGAAGATGTTGATGTAGAAGGTCCAAAACTGTTTCATAACTTGCTGTCTTTTTTCTGCCTCATTCACCTTGCCAAGCCAACATCCTTCAAGGCCTCCTTCAGAGATGAAGTTCCTATATCCTTTATTGCCTCTATGAACTTCTTGAGCCCTTATTAGCTGCTTTGTGTAGTCTGTTTTATACAAACTAGTATTTCTACAAACTAGTTCTGTACAAACTAGTATTGGTTCTAATTATTTCATGTGCATCCAACTCTCCTTCCAACTAGGTCTTCAAAGCCAACTGAAGTTGGTAGATCGTGGCTTACACTTCCATATCTTGTATAATCCTGGGCAAACAAATGTGTTAACAACAAACTGAATGTAGCTTATCTCTGTCTTTATCCCTAAACAATATATTGGTGTATTTCTTTTTTCAGATATTCAGTGGTGATTTTCTAAATAGATAAATCCAACAAACATTTACCAAGTGTTCTGGGACAGAAAAATGAATAATAAGCAATGATAAACATTGCGTTAAAGATACATGTCAAGTGCCATGGGAGCACAGAAGGGCAAATGACGGTGCGACAGGCAGTCAGGTGTAGAGAAAGTGAATTTTAAAGGATGAGTGGGATTGTGGTGGTGGCGGAGGCAGGGGAGATGAAAAGGAAGGCTGTTCAGACACACGAAAAAATGGTGTAAAGGCAGAAGACTAGAAGGAGCACAGTGTGTGCACTGAATCACAAGTGGTGCAGTCCAGCTGCAGTGCTGGGCGTGGGAAGGCTATGGGATGAGGACGGAGAGGAGCCTCCAGAGGACCTGTGTGCCTGGATGAGGGGAACAGGTGATTGGAGCCCTTGCAAGTTTTGAAGCAGGGAAGTAACATGTAATAATTTACTCATTCAGTAAGATTACTCTAGATTTGGGAATGCCTGGGAGGGTGAGAGGAATAGATAGGCTGCATTGGAGACTAAGAAATGATATTAAGAGATGATAGGGATCAGAGCACCTTCAATGGCAGCTGATATGGGCAACTCAAGTGACAATTATCTCCCCTTTCCTCAAGAGCAAATGATATAGGCTGATAGAAACTTTCAGAACTTATCAGTGACAGCAGTATCCTGTCTGATTTTTCAGGAAAGCATAATATTAGTGGGAAAAGGAATAGTGTAGGAAATCTAAAAGCAGGTAGAGAGAAAACCAAAAAATAGGATAACTGAGTCTAAAGGTTCAATTTTACACTAAGGCCTTGCAGACAATTCCCAAGACACCTTAGGAATGAGAATAATGGAGGGAGGATGGAAACCAAGAATTTCCAAAGACATGGGATCAAGTCTCAGCCTCATTAGGTAGTGAGGCTTCTTTGTGTGGCTTTGGGCAAGTAATTTAACCTCTTTGAATCTCCATCTTCCTACCTGTAGACTGAAGATAATACTATAATACTTCTTTGAATTAAATACATATTATTCTCCTGCTAAGTGCTGGCCAGGTATGGGCATGGGATACAAAGATATGCCAAACAGTTTATGATTCAGTAGGGAAGAAAAGCATATCAATGACTAAATAATGACAAAATGCAGAGTAAAATGAGTCTGACTAAAGACCTAGGAACGATGGTGTGGGAGAGCAGAGAAGAGAATGAGAACATCTGTTCATCCTGGAGGACATTACTGGGTAGAACACATCTAAACTGGCCTGGAGGGTAAGGAAAATTTCAATGAAGGAGTGGGGACTGGACAAAGACCTCCCAGGCTGTGTTCATAGCCATTTTTGACCCATGCTCAGACAGAAGTGGGTACAGACACCTGGCAAGGAAGGACAGCTATGTGGTGGGTTATATATTTATATCTTGCAGGGTTGTTGTGAAGAAATGGGGGAAAATACCTTCTGGACTGAGCATTAGGACTCTTCCTTGCTCTCTGCTGTTACCTCTCTCTCAGATGGAGGTCCCTCCCTGGCCTGATGCAGGTTCTCCCTGAGAATCACATCTGGGGTCCTTGATAAGAGATAAATGAACAGTCCTTTGAAGAAGGAGGCATTAAAGTGAGATTCACACTTACTAACTTATTTTCTCCCTGTATGAGCAGAAAAGTTGAAACAATATGTTAAAACAAGGATTGTTTGGGAGACAAATAAGACCATCACTGAAAGTATTTGGGAATGCTACCTCGGCTTTTTCTGAAAGCATAAATTTGTGGGAGACTACTTTTGGATCTTTCAGGCGATTCTGAAATCATTTCCTTGTAAAGGTGTGGGGATGCTGCTCTCTTTTAAAGGAGTCTGAATTCTCAGGGTTACAATCTTTAAGCAATGGCAGTTTCTAGGGCAGAAGAATGGGTATATGTTGCCTTCTCCTTACATATTCTGAAGTCTACTGGGGAGCATTTGGAAATAGGCTACTGAAAAAATTCCATCTTTTCATGTAAAACCTCAATGTGCCATAGATATTTACATTGAAGAAGTGCCAATTTCATATTTTATGATGCTGTAATTGTTATGTTTTGGGTGATTTCTTGGTACTGGAGAATTGGCATTGAGGTCTAAACTATTTTCTCAGTGGAAGCCACATGGCCGCAGATCCGGGTGGGATGAGGTCTCTTTGGATTTTGCTGCTCAACAAACTATCTGAAGCCCATAGATAGTTCGGAATATTTTTCTTAAATGTGGTCTGTTTATCATGGTGCTTCTCTCCAATAGTATTTTGCTGCCTACTTCATGTTAAAAACCAGCTTATGAAAAACTTGGAATATATGTCTAATTTGTGGGAATTAGAAATGGAAAAAAAAAAGAACAATTTCCAGGGTGTCATTTCTCTTCCTCCATCTACACCTGTCTTCCTTCTTGGATTTCTTTCTCACAGGCGTGGCCACCCGGTCATTCTCTGTGGGTCAATGCCATCACACTGGCAGCAGCTGGCTTTCTCCCTGGGGCTGCCCCCCAACAGGGACTGAGTTCAGATGGGGGCTCTCTAGGGTGGCCAGCCAGTGTCTTCACCTTCTGCCTTGCCAAGTGGAACCAGACAGGCTCTTCCCAGGGGGACGGGGGAAGGGGCAGGAGGTCAGGGAAAGGCACAGACAGGAGGGGCAGCAGGAGACTGGGAGGTGAAAAGTTAAACAAACAGGGAAATAGATGTCTGAACAGTTTCTGGTTGCTTTCTGAAGCAGCTGTTTACCTTGAACAGTGAGGTATGCTGAACTTTCCACAGACCCCCTCTGGTTGGTGGCTTTGCAGTGATAGACGCCTTCATCCTCTTCTGTGACTCTTTCAATAAACAGCGTGCTGCTTCCTGGTCCTAAAATAATTCCTAAGGAGTGAGAGATGTTTAGATTAGTGGGCCTAGATGACAAGCATAAACAGCTCCTTTTGTAACACAACCCCCTTCCTATCATTATGCATTCAGACAAGGAAATCCGAGCTTGGGCTAACCTGGGGCAGGCCTGCTTATTTGTTTTCTCTGGTCCAGGCTTTTTAATAGCACCTTCACCACCCAGCAGCACTCTGACCCTCAGCTTTTGGGATACGCCTGACCAAGGCCTTTCGTTGTGTGAAAGAAAAGAGATGAGGTTGTCATACCCAACTGCGAGGAGCAAATATCAAGGAGGTAGAGTATCTAATAATGATAACTACCATTCACTCAGTGTCTGCTACATTGTGGGAATTATGCAAGATACTATCTTGGGTTTAGAGCCATCTGTGAGGTATAGTCTCCATTTTATCAACATGGAAACTGAGGTTTGGCGAGTTAAGCAACTTGACCAAAAGCATGCAGCTGGGTTAAAATCACATTTGTGGCACTGGAGTCAAAGGAAATCACGTTTCATTTGTCATAGGGGTAGTGAGCTTGGGCTATGTTTAGTCTAGACCTTACTGCTTCAAGCTTTGTCACTTTGAGCAAATTACTTAACCTTTCTTGATTTCAGTTTCCTCAGTTTTGATAGGAGTATGAAAGCAGTTCCTACTCAATAAATGTGAAAATGAAGGCAAGTATATGGCACATAGTAAGTGTGTAGTAAATATATGCTTAAGTATCACTATGCAAGAATAAGTTTAAGGAAGAATGAAAAGGCCATTGTGACTAGGGTAGAGTGAGTACCAGGAGAGATGAGAACTAGGCAGGGCCACAGGCAGGGCCAAAGGTCCTCATGGCATGTATGAGGACCAGGGTGGAAACAGCAAGAGCAGTTGGCTAGCTACTGAGGCTGCCCATGAAAGATGTGTGGCTTTATCCTAGAGTGACTATGTTGGAAGCTGTAAGAATTGTTGACTTTGGGGATATTTTCAAAGGCAGAACCAATCAGCTTGTTTTTGGATTAGTATATGGTACATGAAAAGGAGTAATAAAAGTTAATGATTTGAATACCTGGGAGAGAATAGTGGTACCTTTCTTGTGGGGGAGCAGGTTCGAGGGAGGAAAATCAACAGTTCTGTTTCACACACAGTAAGCTTGATGTGCCTATTACACATCTAAAATTAGGTTTCATTGAGAGCTCAGGCAGGAGATTGGAATTAGAGACAGCTATGTGGAATCAACATACACAAGGCGTGTAAAGCCCTGGGATGGAAATAAACCTCATCAGACATGAGTCCAGATAGAGAAGAGAGCAAATCTGATGGCTGAGCAATAGGAGCTTGGAGAAGAGGAAGCAGAAACAGAGACCAAGAAGGAGTAGCCTCTGAGGTTGCAAGAACATAGGAGAGCAGGATGCTTAGAGCCCAAGGAAAGAGTTCACAAGGACAGAGTGGTCAGCTCTGTGCAATACTGCTGAGAGATTATGGCAAAGGGAGATAGCTGACCACTAGATTTAACAATGAGCCATTTTGGCAAACTTTGGGCACAAAGTCATGATTAATATAACTTAGAGAATAGGAGATAATGAAGTAGAGATTACTTTCAAGGAGGTAGGAGTTTACTTTCAAGGAGGTAGGAGTTTACTTTCAAGGAGGTAGCTGGAGAACAACATGAGCCCCCAAAATGAATTTTTTTGAAATGTGGGATTTTATATCATGCTCTTTTTTAAAAAATATTTTATTTATTTATTTCCAGAGAGAGGAGAAGGGAAGGAGAGAGGGAAACATCAATGTGTGGTTGCCTCTCATGCGCCCCCTACTGGGGACCTAGCCTGCAACCCAGGCATGTGCCCTGAGCAGGAATCGAACCAGCAATCCTTTGCTTCACAAGCCAGTGCTCAATCCACTGAGCCACCTCAGCCAGGGTTCATGCCCTTATGCTAATAGGGAAAATCTGGGGGGGGGGGGGGGAGAGAGAAAGAGAAAGAGAGAGAGAGAGAGAAAGAGAGAATATGAATATGAATGTGAATGCCAGGAGTAACATTTCTGAAGTGAGAGGGAATGGAATTTTGCAGCCAATTTGGCCTTAGGTAGGAATAGAGATAGTTAACTCATTTTAACAGGAAGGATGGCAGAGTATAATGGGAGAGGCACATTGGATAATCTGGTGATATATATTCTCAATAAATAAGTGATACTCATCTGTTTAAATTCAGGAAGAGGAGGAAATTTTGGAGTTTTGTAGAAAGAGAAAAAGGTATGAAATACTACGCTGGAAGAGAAAGAAAACAAATTCAGTACTGAAATGTCAGATTTTTCCTCATTTTTAAATACTAATTCCCCCCCAATATCATAGCGTAAGTATTCCCCCATGACCTTATACTTTTAATAAAATCATTCTTTATGTGTGTGTACCCTATTGATTGGCATTAGGTTATATATCTAATTGCTCATAACTATAAATAATAATGCATTTAATGTCTTTAGGCACAAAGGTTTCTATATACTTCAGATTATTTCCTTAGAATAGATTTCCAGAAACATTTTAGGTCAAAAGCTCTTAATTCATAGAATGAAAATGGCTTCCAAAAAGATCATATCAATTAACACTTTAATAGCAGATAAGAGACGATTTTACCACTCTTCTGCCAGTACTGAGCAGAATCACTGAAAAAATACAAAACAAAACTTTTCTGATTTGGTAGATGGAGATCACTGTCATTTTAATTTGTGTTTCTTTGTACATTCTTTCATGTGTTTGGTAGCCATTCTTACTCTCAAAGCACCTGTTCTGAGTAGTTGAAAAGGTGAGTACAGATGAAGGAGAGCTCTGAAATCCTGGCTGAGGAGTTTTCATCCTGTGTAGAAGGAAAGAGAAGGTCACAAAGATTTTTTAGCAGGGAAATGACATATGAAAGCAATGTTTAAGGAAGTTTAGTCTAGAAGGAGAATGCAGGATGGAGAGAAATGAGGAAAACATGGCATCTGGAAGGCCAGCTCACTAGTTGTAATTCAGGCAGGGGATGGTGAGGACCTAAACCTGGGGGAGTGGGGTGGATGGGAAGGAAGTGGAGAAGAGAGATGGAAACAGACACTGTGTAGGAACACTCTACAGGAATTAGTGCTTTATTGGATATAGGAACAGACAGAGATGAGTCTTACAGGGTTTCAGTGTCCTAAGCCCAGATGACAGGGAAAAAGTGAGAGTTTTCTCCTGTAAAATTGGCTAACCCATTTGATCTCTTTGAGGCTGTTTCCCCATCTGTAAAATGAGAAGGACACTGGCTTTGCCTATTTCATGGTATTGTTATGAGGTCAATTAAGATCATTTAAGTGAAGCTCTGAAGCTTTGAAAAGATGAAGATTTAAGTGGCAATCACAGAAAGTAAAAGTATGGCTGGATAGTAGTAGGTGGTCAGGAGCAATGAATAGCAGCCATCTTGTTACCCATAATCATCTCCTGCAGCACACCTGAGCCTCAACCAATTTTTCTATCACCCAAATCCAAATTTAAGTCCAACACCATGAACAAATACAGCCAAAGGACTTGGATTTCAGCCAAGGAGACAGATGCATGATTGCAAAGGTGAGAGGATAGTACCAAGGATGCTCATAAGCTAATATACCTGGCATAGTTTCCTCTTTCCATCATGTGGAGAAGAGGAGATGGGGTGAGACGGTGTCCAAAATCAGCAAGCAAAGCTCTTCTTTTTGACTTGCTGTCACATTGCACCATACCAAATGGCATAGACATTGATGGCCATCCAAAATCTCATTCTCTACTCTTGGTATTTATTTCCTTCTCACAAAAATAGGCCAGCTACTGCCCTTAGTATTTTTTCTCATAATTCAAATCTTCTGCCCATATTTATTCATAGTTGTCTCCTTCTTTAATGACTTAACCTATCACTACTCACTTCCTATTACCCAGTTCCTGTGATACAGGCTTTGTTCTACTGAGGAACTCACCTTTTAAAAAGAGCTCTCTTTTTGGTTCATTTTTTCCATTGTGATTAATTTTAAACATTTAAAAAATACAGAAAAATCATGACCTTTGTATTACCATTAAGATAATCAGATACAGCCCTACTTCTTGCCAAGACGGAGGCATATGTAGATACACTTTGCCTCCTTGCACAACCAAAACAAGGACAACAGCAAATTTAAAAACAAAAAATAACCAGAACTGCCAGAAGACCGAACTGTATGGAAGTCCAACAATGAAGGAGTTAAAGAAAAAACATTCATCCAGACCGGTAGGAGGGGCGGAGATAGGCAGCCAGGGTAGAGAGGACATGTGGCAAGGTAGCACCTGGAGGACGAGGCAGTCCCACATTTGCCTGCCAATAAACCAGAGGACCGAGACAGACCACCCAATCCAGGGTTCCAGTGCAGGAAAAGAAAGCCTCAAAACCTCTAGCTGCAAAACCGATGAGGGTTGCAGCCACAAGAGAAACTCCCAGCTTCTCAGGAGAGTCTGTTGGAGAGACCCACGAGATCCTAGAATGGACACAAACCCATCCACCCGAGAAACAGCACTAGAAGGGCTCAATTTGCTTGTGGGTAACGGGGGAAGTGACTGAAAGCTGGCAGAGAGCCAAGCAAGCAGCACTGTTCCCTCTTGGACTCTTCCCCAACAGACAGCCTCACAACTCAGTGACCAGGGTTGCCCCACCCTGGTGAATACCTAAGGCTCCACCTCTTCCAATGTGACAGGCTTGCTGAGACAAAGAAATATGGCCCAAATGAAAGAATAGATCAAAGCTCCGAAAATGGAACTAAGCAATGAAAAGAGAGTGAATCTATCAGATACACAGTTCAAAACATTGGTAACCTGGATGCACATTGAATTGGTTGAGTATGGTCACAAAATGGAGGAAAAAGTGAAGGTTATGCAAAGCAAAATAAATAAAGATATACAGGGAACCAACAGTAAAGGGAAGGAAACTGAGACTCAAATCAATGATTTGGAGCAGAAGGAAGACATAAACATTAAACCAGAACAGAATGAAGAAA